TTTAAACTTAAATTCAATTGAAACTTTAAAGTAACTTTAAAGTTTAAAGTTTTAATTGAAGTTTTTTAATAATATAATTTTATTAATTAATAATATAATATTATATAATAATTAAAGTTAATAAAAAAATAAAAAAAAGTTATCGGTACAAAATGATCCGGTAAGAACCGGTTCCGGTCCGGTCCAAACCGGTTCCAATCCGGTAACTAAGGGACCGGACGGAACCTTTGGAAATTTCCGGTAAAACCGGTTCCGGTAAGATTCGGTTCCGGTAACGAAATCCGGTAACGAGGACTGGTTCCGGTACCGGTTCTGGTAAAACCGGTCCTGTTGATCCGGTCCTATCCGTTTGCCAGCCTTAGTTCAGACACTAACCTAATAATTTACGTCAAATTTAAAAGTGTTTTCACTATTTCTCTATATTTTCTTCGATATTTTTATTTTAGTAATTTTTTCAAATTTTAAAAGACAAAAAGAAAAAAGTAACGCGTCCTCGAATTAAGGGCCCATTTATGTGGAATATTTACCGTACGATATTTCCACATTATTTCGAGAAGTCCTCTTTTATCGGCGAGTCAAGATATTTCTACTCGTTTTCCCCTTCTTTAAATACCGTCTTATGTGTCTAAACGAAATCAAAAGCTAAAACTCGCGCATAGGGTTCTTACAGTTCGAATCGGAGAAATTGTTAAAAAAAAGAGAGGAAAAAAAATGGCAGAGCAGCTGACGGAGGAGCAGATCGCCGAGTTCAAGGAAGCTTTTAGCCTTTTCGACAAGGATGGCGATGGTAAAAATTATCGTTTTTCTCGGCTCTTTCATTTCCGTTCGTTTTTTGTGATCTTACAGTGCTGTAATGGTGTTTTTTTTTGGGGGGAATTTTTTTGAGAAGGAAATGTTGTTTATGCCATTGAATCTGATTTTGTGGTTTTGGAGTAGATCTAAGCTTTGGCTACGCTTTTTATTTGGTTGACTTACTTTTTACGCGATGTAGTACTCAAATGTTCAAGAGATCACTACTGTAAACTTAAATTACACCGTTTATAGTTCTTTGATTTTGCTGTTCTGGTAAAATTGAGGAACGATAAAAAGTAGAAGAACAGAGAATGCTGGTAGGACTTAAGTCTATCTATAGTAGGATCATTGGTTGACGAAGTCGTAGGACGGGAGGTAATCATCTCCATCTTGTAATTTCGTTCATCTGCTCATAGGAAATCTTGAAATTGGGAGGCCGAGCCATTTTTTTTAATTCATTGGTAGAGTTGTCAACTTGTCATTAATAGAATTAACTTTTATTTTTTCCCTAAGGCGTGGTACTGTGATGACGGAAGTGCCTAATGTGAAAAATTTGTCTTACATTTGACATTATCTATCACACCTCAGTTCTGTTTAATTTGAAGTTTGCGTGATGGCATTCGATTGATTGTTGATTGCATCTTGTATTTATGGATGCCCTCTTTTACTTGGTACAATTTATTGAAATGCCTAGTTATTTAGCCATTTAAAAATATTATCTATGTTGGTTACCATTGTATCCGTATGAGGAGAGAAAAGTTGTGAAATCTTCAGGTGAGAGCCAAGAATTCCTAAAAGAAGTCAACCCAGGAAGAGAAATGAGGTTAATAGAGAGAAGGGATTTTCTTTTAAAAGTGATCTTCTCTGTTGTGCCAATGATTTTCTGTAGCTACTAAACCAACATCCCTTCTTCATGAAATAATCAGAAGTAGAATGAATCCATATATCTCAGTGATGATAATAATGTCACTCTTTGGGTTAACGAAATGGAGCATTGAAGAGTATCCTACCTGTATATTGGCCTGGCAAATCCCAGGATGGCCTGCAATTGAGGTTCTGTCTTTTGCATGCAACTGGTGGTTTTGCAGCTATGGTGTGGTTGCCTTCTCTTTTATTGAGCCGAGGATCTATTGGAAACAACTTCTCTACCCCCACAAAAGCAAGGTCTGCACCCCACCCTACCCAGACTCCACTTGTAGGATTACATTGGGTTGTTGTTGATAGTTGACTAGGGTCTGCTTATATCCTAATTTTTGGTATTTGGAGTTGTTTCAAAATGAGCCTAGGTTCTATTGGAATCGACCTCTCTACACCCACAAAAGTAGGGATAAGTTCTGCATAGATCCTACCCTCTCCAAACTCCACTTGTGAAAACTAACGTGATCATTTTGACTGGATAGAGTGTTCTACATTACTTCCGTTTTTTCTTCTTATTTTATATACAAACATGAGTTGCATCTGGGAGGAGGCTTTTTGATATGTCACCCTTGCATTGTGTTTTCACTTTTAGTTTCTCAATGTAATTGCATCTGGTTGCCCCTTAAGTCCCTGTGGAGATACTTCATTTTATATTCTCCCAAGGAGTACTCTATATCGTTGCTATTCCATGAGCAGAATCAAAACTTCTAGTTGTGATCTGACATTTGCTTCTATAGGCTGTATTACTACCAAGGAGTTGGGAACAGTGATGAGATCACTTGGTCAGAATCCCACTGAAGCTGAACTACAGGATATGATCAGTGAAGTTGATGCTGATCAGAATGGAACCATTGATTTTCCAGAGTTCTTGAATCTGATGGCACGTAAAATGAAGGTATAGGAGTACCAGCTATTTAATATTTAGTCTTTCTTATTTGGCCTTATTGAGATATTTGAAAGGCTGTTTCACTTCAGGTTTCCTCAACCATTATTTAGATGCCTCCTCCTTGAGAATTGATCTCAAGGGCAATTTTGACTTATTTGACTAGGGCAGACGGCAACTTTGCTGTTTTGATCCAAATTCTTTTTCTATCTCTTTAAGTTGTGATAGCCTCATGCATATAACAATTTTGTGGTGCTTATATTTAGTCCACTTTTCTGTGATTAGGGATGGTCACAGAAAAACCTTGCTTTAAGTTCTGCATGCACTGAGACAATCTTTCTTATAGGAAAAGTTGTTTACATGCCTATGTAAAATCCAAGTTTAAAATAATGAGATAATACAATTTTCAAGGGATCAATGATTGGTTGATTCTTCCTTTTGTTCTTTTAGCATTTCGTTATTGTTTTCCCTTTGGATCTTATATAATCATGATAAGGAGGATGGAAAATATGCGTTCTTCATCGCTTGTCAAATATTATTAATTGCCAAATCTAGTAGTCTTGTGCTCAAATAATCATATTTCATACTTGAGAAAAGAATGTACATAATTTGGACTATTCTTGTGAAGGACACTGATTCTGAGGAGGAACTCAAAGAGGCTTTCAAGGTTTTCGATAAAGATCAGAATGGCTTTATTTCTGCAGCCGAGGTACTTTTCTTATTTTCTGCAAGTAATTATGTGAGAAGTGTTATTTAACATGCTAGTAGGTTTTTTGTCAGCCAGTATTATGGACTGCCAATTCCTGTGTTTTATGAGTCTACATTTTACGTTTCAGCTTCGTCATGTAATGACAAACCTTGGAGAGAAGCTGACTGATGAAGAGGTGGATGAGATGATCCGAGAGGCAGATATTGATGGTGATGGGCAAGTTAATTATGAGGAGTTTGTCCGTATGATGCTTGCCAAGTGATGGCTTAAGATTCTGTTAGCTACTGTGTAATTTATGATGGCCGCTCAGTTACTACAACTTCTAGCTGGCAGTTTATATTCTGTTCTGTTAAGACAAACTAAATGTGTCGTATGGTTTTACTAGCATCTAGACTCCTTCAGTTTTATGTTAACTTATGGACTACAGGTGTATGCTGCTTTAGTCCCTTGCCAATCGAGAGAGGGTAAAAGAAAAGGAGAATTTAGATAGTTCATTGGTAATATCTTGTTAGTTGCCTTGGTTTCTTTCCAGGCAACAGTGTGTATGCGTTTCACTGTCTCTAACTGTTCTGGTTTTCGCTTTCATCACTGATTAATGGGAAGGTCAAATGCAAGGTGATTATTTCCTAAACCCTCGAATGTTAGATGTCGGATGCCCTCGTTTTTATGTAGTTATTACCTGTGACTTTTTTCGTCACTTTGAATACATGTTTATATGGGTGTGGGTATCTTATTTCAGAGTAGAACTGAGATCATTATTTTTGAAGGCATACTGAATTTTATGTTAAAATTGACCTAGGCATAAAAGTTTTCTCATTACATTTGAGGAAGAAGAAGAGGAGGGACAGAAAATTACATTCCGCCAATTTGTGTGGGATTCTCATTAGTACCACAAGACTCTTAAAGTTTTGGTGACCCTTTCAAGTTGAGCAAAATCTGGTTCAAAGAATATTGGCTTTGCCATTACGAGTTCATTTTATATCCTGACAAGTGGATACAAGATAGAGTACTGAACTTTTCTTTTTTACCTATATTATATGCAAAACTTATAAATTTTATTACCACTATTAAGTAGGTTCTCATTTAATTACCTTATATAACTATATTTATCAATTATATACGAAAAAAGGAATTAAGTTTCAATCTTTCCAATTTTCTCTCCTACTCTTTCTCACGCCTCTCCCCTCCTCATTTTCGAGTCCGGAGCCTAAAGGGCAAAAAAAATTGTCAAAAATTCCAAAAGGGCACATCACTTTTTATTTTAGCCAAAAGGGGAAAATCGCTGCGTCAGCAGCGATTTTCCTCTGACAAAATGACGAAAAATTCTAAAAGTTTTTTTTTTTGTTTTTTTAATTAAAAATCGCTGCCACAGCAGCGATTTTGTAAAAAATAAAT